CCCTATTTGGATTTTTCAGCGGATGATAGGTTATTTTAAGGGCTTTGGTTTAGACTCGCGGACCCGCGTTTAGTTGTTCAAACCTTGGGGTTCCAGTAATTATTTCCACCCTAGTTAGTAGGGGTTTCTTGGGGAAAAGGCGCAAATTGAGGAAGGGTGATATCATAGGCACGCTCCGTCACAAGTTTTTTAACTTTTTGCTTCTCAAAACGAGCGCTAGCGCCTTCGACACAAAAAGCATCGTCGTCCGGTGTTGGAATTTGATCGGTTTTCTTGCCCTTCCCCTTGCCTTTAGAAGTGCCTTCGCCTTGTGAGGTGCCCTCCCCGTCACGTCCTCGTTTCCCCATGAATTGAGAATGCGTGTGGAAGGGATTAGAAGTGAATTGAGGTGCAAATTTCCCCCCAAACTTGACTTGAGCAATTCGTCGAACACCTTGTGAGCGTTCTTGGTGGAGTGGGTTTGTGGAGAAATTTGCATCTTTCTTGAAGCCTCCCTGCACAAATCACCAACAAGCAACAATGTTTGAGTGTTATGTGTGTGTATTTGGTGGAATTTAGGCGAATTTGTTCAAAGAAAATCGAAAATTTTGAAAAGAGGGGATTAGGGTTCGAATTAAGAGAGAAAGAGGAATTAGAGTTGTGAGAATTGTGGTTTGGAAAACCCCTATTTAATATGCCCGATTTTTTTATTCGGACGGCCGTGCGAGATTTAGGCCTGAAATCCGCACGGCCGCGCCAATTATCGGTTTTGGGCAGTAGCTGCTTCAACTTTCGGACGGCTGTGCGAGATTTAGTTAAGAAATCCGCACGGCCGCGCCATTATGCGATTTTAGGCAGTAGCTTACTCGAAATCTCACACGGCCGTGTGAGATTCCTGCCTCTTTCTTGCACGGCCGTGTGAATAATTGCAATTAGGTCCCTGAAAAATAAAAACTTCTTATTAGTGCCCCTAAAGTTTTTTTTTTTTTAATCGAAGAATTTAGATATATATATATATATAAAGATGCACATATATATCTATATCTCTTTTTTTTTTTTTCGAAGAAGAAGAAGAAAGATCTTATAAGAATTTTTCGACCGACCTCCAAAGGATAATTATTCAAAAATCTCCACTTTTCTACCTTCTACATATTGGCTAAAAGAAAAAACACCTTTTCTCCGAGGGTCAAATCAAGGTTCTAAGGATAAATTCGACAAAAAGGGTAGGCTTGAAAGGCTCAAACGGTTCAAAGAAGGCCTAAATCATATCCCAAATCACTTACTACCCAACACTTCGTATCATAAATGTCCTAAGGTGAGATTTAAAACCGAACAAAGCATAATTTAGCATAAATAAATTCCAAATTTAAAATGAAAAATCTTCAACCAAAGCAATGCACAAGGTGTGATTCCTAGCAATAATTCACTTCTACGTTCCGTTGAACCGAAAGCTAAACAAATATCTACTCCTTATCAACATAAAACAAGTAATCTCATCATCACACATTATCATCACACATTGACTAAAATCACAAGATAAAAGACGAGTTAGTTATTATTAATGCAAATTTTTTTATACGAAAATGTACCTCTTACGATATAAAATAGCTTGAATAGTAAGAGATGTAACCTGTTTTGCAGCTAGTTGCTCGATTAAGCTGTGAAGCTGTTTATCCGACGTTTTCTCTCGTTGACCTGTTGATGAAGAACATAGAAACGATGTATAGCTGATTTTAAAGATTTTGTTTTATGGAGACTATCGCTCGAGAATTGAAGCAGATATTTTCCATTTTGAAAGCAAACTATATTACTCACTGGTCACTGCTTTTAGGCCATAGATGAAAAGTAAACAAATACATAAAAACTCCAGTTTAAACTTATTGAATCCACAATTTCAGGCTAAATTCGATTTAAAACACACACACACACACACACACACACACACACACACACACACACACACACACACACGATAGCTTATTGATGCTTTAACAGCAAGAGGTGATAGCAGAAGCAAAACAATAATGTTATTGGAAACCAGATAGTTTCCCCTAATTTTATATTTATGATTTTTTTTTAATTTTTTTTTTTCTACATTTTTACCCGCACCGCCGTCGACTGGCCGCTTCTGCCAGATCCCCAACACCACCGACCTCCCCATGACCTACGGCTACCGCCGCGTCTTCCGGACGGCGCTGAGGGCCATAAACTGCCGGAAAAACTTCAACGGCGTGGTATTCCTCCGGACATTCGCGCTGTCGCACTTCGAGAACGGGATGTGGAACGAGAGAGGGAACTGCCTGCGGCGGCGGCCGTACCGGAGCAACGAGACGATTCTGGAGATTCTGAAATTGGATTTTTACATGATTCAGCTGGAGGAATTTAGGGCTGCGCAGAGAGAGGGGAAGAAGAAATTGAGGTTGCTGGATACGACGCATGCGATTCCATTGAGACCCGACGGGCACCCGAGTAGATAGATATGGGCATTGGCCCGATGCTGTAATCCTGTATAATGATTGCGTCAACCGGGCCCATTGATTCCTGGGCCGTTTTTTTGGCCCATTTATTGAAGGTGGAGGCCCGAAAAACAAAGGCTGAGAGACTATTTCAAGTTTCAACGAACAAAAATGCATTGAATTTCAATATTCCTTTCTTTCTTTTTTATTGTTTTTAGGGAAATTATATTATTTAAAAACATTTATTCAATATAGTGGTTTTTGGTTAAGGTTTACGAAATCTCTCTTATTTTTACCAGCTTCAGATCAAGGTTGATAAATCGCAGAATCAAATCGAAAATCATTTTGCTAAATTTATTAATCGTACGAGTTTTATTTTATCAGCAAGCATATTTAATGATGTCATGGCTAATGAATAGCCACATTTAAACAAGGGATTATTTGAGAAAACCCCCTCATATGCCTTTTATAGTTAGTGTAGGCCCAAAAAAATTTCTCCTTTTTGAGATAAATCCAAAGTTTTATTTATCAGCCTTTTTAATTACGATTTCTCTAGAATACCCTTATGTATTACCTTGTATAAATTTATGTTTTACTTTTTTTATTTGACAAAAACCAATTATTTAATATTAAATTAAATTATAATAATTCAATTACACCCTAACCCTATCACACGATCTCCATTTTTTTTAGTTTTCATTTCTTCTTCTCTATTCACGGCTCCACCTTCTTTCTTTTCTCCACCGAGGCCTTTTTCTCTTCTCTCTACCATCGTTGTGATATAGGCAAAATCTCGTTTCATGATGATAAGTTTTATCGATCTCGATTCATCGCCGATGGCATATTCAGTCGAAACCCTGCATTTTCAGTCGATTCATCCGGTGTTAACCAACCCTTTTTGCCTCCATCCCTTGTTCGAAGCTCGGTAAGTTCCATTTACTCGTATTTTGATCAGTATTCACAAATCACAGTTTCAATGGCGGCATCATGTTATTAACTCCTGATCATTATCTGTGTTTTTCCCCCTTTTTTTCTTTTGATTCATGGAACTCGGAGTCTAAAAGATTTGATTTTTTTGGTTGTATTCGGAATTGCTTGATGACGTCATTTTAGCTAATTAATTCTTAGAATTAGATCAGGGCTTCCTTATTATAATAAGAGTCTGCAAAGAGTAAAACTCAATGCCATTTTGTTTGCTTTTGTTGGTAATGTTTTCCCCTAATTTAGTCACAGTAATTCGTACCTTAGAACTTAGTTTTTCGAATGTGTTTTATGGATGCATCCTAATATCAGTTCTTGGGAGGTTTGGGACAATGCTGCAGTTTAATTGGTTCAAAGACGACGGATTCTATTCAATAAAAGTTGTAAAATCGGGCATAGATTTTATAGTGGAACTTCTTACCTCAGTTATTCCGGAAAGATGCCTATTCGTAAAAGAGGAATGGTATATTCAGTGGCGTTGAATATTCGATGATTTCCTTTATATATGCTTTCATTTGTTTTAAGTGTTTTATAATAGTGATTTTGATAAGACTAGTGGATCTCAAGGTATTGGTTACGAATTTAATTTCCAATGTTTTACTATCTATCATTATTGTCAAGCTCTATTGTCAAGCTCTATGATTAATATTTGGTACCTCTCTTGATTTTAAATATGGAACCATGTTTTTGTGAGTAGGGGATAAATTTGATGTCGTCTGTCATCATCCACACTTTGGCGGATGTGTTGTTCAACGCCAACACGCCACCGTCGTCTCAGGATCTTCTTCGTCATCCTCGCAAAGAAGAGCAGTAATCTGCTTGTGGTCAGAGCCACCAACCACCGCCTTCATATCTGGCGATCCATATAACGGCGCCAAGGCAATATAGGCACCGCCATCAGGCGATTCAAATAGTAGATTATGTTTTTTTATTTGTTATTTTTTTTAGTTGTGTCAGTAGTAATCAGTAGTGGATTACGTATGTTTTTAGTGGTTTTGGATAAGTTTGTCGTGAATTTTGGTAATTTCATAGTGGATATCAATAATTTCGTAGTGGATTTCGGGCAATTTTCGTTGTGGATTTTGATAGTTGTAGTGGATTTTGATATGTTTGTAGTGGATTTTCGTAATGGAATACATTAATTACGTAGTGGTTTTCGTTAATTGTACAGTGGTTTTCGTTTATTGCATAGTGGTTTTTGTTTATTTGCATAGTGTTAAAAACACTGTATGAGTTGATAATATACATGTTACTGTTGTATTTAATGGTGTAAGTTTACTCAATCCTTACGTATTAGTGGTTTTTGTTTTTGTTTCTATGTGACAGAATATGGACATAAAAGAAGGAGATTGAACAAAACGGCACGTACAACTTTAATTTGGAGTGGTTATGTATGAGCTATTGATGGGTCGAAAAATTGAGGAAAACGAATCAGATGGGGCTCTATTTGATGTAGTACTCATCTCCATGTATATTTAGATCGCCGAAGAGTGGATTTATAATTCTCACGTGTCATTAAATAATGAATTATACTTACAGTAAATAGGGGATTTAATTTTTTGGCAAACCTGCTGGAAATAAAATGACTTGTAAAAAACTGAAATTTTCAATAAGTTTATAGTGAATTTTCGTAATAGATAATGTTAATTAGTTAATGGTTTTCGATAAGCTTATAATGGATTTTCGTAACCAACTACGTTATCATAGTGGTTTTCGATAAGTTTATAATGAATTTTTGTAATGAAACACATTAATTACATAGCGGTTTTCGTTAATTACATAGTGGTTTTCGATAAGTTTATAATGATTTTTTTGTAATGGAATAAATACATTACTTACATAGTGATTTTCGTCAATTACATAGTGGTTTTCGATAAGTTTACAGTGGATTTCAATTGTTAAAAACTTTGTTTTTTAAATCAAAATGTCAAAAGAGAATTTAAAAAAAAAAAATTAAAAATCAATTTTTAAAAACGAAAATATTTTTTTTTAAAGAAAATCAAAATTTTATAATTTTCTTATAAAAAACGCTTCAGAATAAAAAAATAAAAAAAACAAAAAAAAAAAACACACAGTTTAATCAAAATTTTAAAAAATAACTTCTGCAAAAAAAAAAAAAAAGTCAACTAAAAACAGAATTAAAAAAACGTAATTTTTTTTTAATTGAAATGGCATAAGATTTTTTGAGAGATTTTGGGGATTAGGCGAATTTTTAGGGGAGTTATTTAGGGAAAATAAATTAAACATTAAAATTAAAAAATACACTACAAGGGTAATATAAGTATTTTGCTATGGGAGGGGGTTATCTCAAAAATGGAATTATTAATTGGACTTATCCCTCTTAGGAAATTGAGTGAGGGGTTTATCTCATATAACCCCTTTAAACAATAACTGTCTTTTTTTTTTATGTTTTTGTTTCATATTACCGTTTTAACATTATTAATGCAACTCTAAGCATTAATTATCTCTTATAAATCATTAAATCATAAAGGTTGTTCTAATCATTTTTATGTTAATATTTTATTTTATTTTTAAATCAAACTACACTTATTGAATTTCTTAATTTTGTGAAAAGTAAAAAGAGACATTTATAAATAATATCTCAACTTAAACCTCAATTTTTCAATTCTCATTTAGTGTTGAAAAATATTAGCCTTTGTTAAATATTTTTTCATAAGATTCAAAATTAATAATAATAATAATAATAATAATAATAATAATAATAATAATAATAATAATAATAATAATAATAATAATAATAATAATAATAATAATAATAATAATAATAATAATAATAAATAAATAAATAAATAAATAAATAAATAAATAAAAAATAGTGTATGGGCCAATTTATAAAATAGTTTCACAATAAGTCAATAATTATTGCAAAATGTATATTCTTATCCAGTCTTCACTTTCTTTGACCTTTGTCTCCCACACCTTCAGTTTCAACTTCAAGCTCCAAATCTAGCTATGGAGCTAACCATAAAAAACAACAAAAAAATAAAGAATACTGCTATACTACTAATCTCCACAGCATTAATCCTCATCACAATAATCATCCATCTCAATTATCCATTAATATTTCTTCAGAGTCCTTCTCTATATTCTTCGAGCTACAGGCAAAATTCCTCGGTGATTCATGCAGGAGGAGATATTAATAAAACCGATGATCACGAGAAATGCGATATCTTCACGGGCGAATGGGTACGGAATGCGGATGCTCCGTATTACACGAACACAACGTGTTGGGCAATCCACGAGCAGAATAACTGCATTAAATACGGGCGACCCGATTTGGATTTCTTGAAGTGGAGGTGGAAACCCAACGGTTGCGAATTGCCCGTTTTGAACCCGTATCGGTTCTTGGATATGGCCCGGGGTAAGAAAATGGCATTTGTCGGTGATTCTGTGGGGAGGAACCATGTGCAGTCTATGATTTGCCTTTTATCCCGGGTTAGTATGGTCATTTGCCAATTTATATTTTACCAATTTCACACACACACACACACACACACACACACACACACACACACACACATTAATTCATTCTGCTTGCTTATATATCATTTAAAGCTGTATCTATCGTGACATCTGTTTTTGGCGTGAGAATTTTCATGTGGTTTAATTTGCATGCAAGTGGATAAGCTAGCATTAACACACACACACACACACACACACATATATGTGTGTGCATATAATTAATATGAATTTTTTTTGATTTTGGTTTAATTGATTAATTAGTGTGTTTAGTGTTTACGTTCACATTAGTTGATATAATTAAGGAGGGAATTATCGAAGTGTGGGAAAGGGTTAGTGTTACTTATTTTTCAAAAAATCCCATCAAGAACTCAATTATTTCAAGGTTTAATTTAGTTTAAGGTAGATTATGACAAAATTAAAGGATTGCATCACTAATTAATAACGACTGCTTTGCTAGTTGCTGCGATTCAAGAAAATAGTAAGGCACTGCAATAATTGTTATTATATTTATTATATTGAATTTTTGTTAAAAGAAATGAAATTATTGGTGAGTGTATATATATGGATAAGATGATAAAAGGCATGTGGGGCTTTAGATCTCAACCAGAAACTGTAGGTCAGTAGGACATAAATACATATATTTTTTTATATATATGTATATATTATAGATCTATGATTATTTATACTTTATTGAATTATTGATTAATGAAAGCTAAAAGGAACACAGCTTGGATTAGTTGGATTAATCTTGGACACTTGTGTGTTTATTATTCTCAAAAACCTTATTTCTCAAAATTATTAGTATTAATATTTTTTCAATAAAACCAATTATGGATGATAAGAAAATATATTTATAATAATTAAAAAAAAGTATTTTACTTGTGTTTATATCAATTTTTACGAATATGTGTTGCAATTTCAGGTAGAATACCCGATAGATGTCTCCACAACTTCGGATGACCACTTCAGACGCTTGAGTTACGTAAATTACAATTTTACCCTCGCCTACTTTTGGACCCCTTTTCTGGTCAGATTCGAAGAACGAGACCCCGATGGCCCGGCCCACACCGGCCTCTTCAACCTCTACCTCGACGAGTCCGACGAGTCATGGGCGAGTCAAATCGACGGGTTCGACTACCTCGTCCTCAACGCCGGCCACTGGTTCCCCCGCACCACCGTCTACTACGAGAACCGCCACATCGTCGGCTGCCGCTACTGCAAGCTGCCCAACGTCACCGAGTACCCAATGGCCTACGGCTACCGTTACGCCTTCCGAACAGCATTTAAGGCCATCAACGAGCGGAAAAACTTCAGCGGCGTGACGCTCCTACGGACATTCGCGCCGGCGCACTTCGAGAACGGGATGTGGAACGAGGGTGGAGACTGCCCGCGGCGGCGGCCGTACCGGAGCAACGAGAAGACTCTGGAGGGTGATAATTTGGATATGTACGTGATTCAGTCGGAGGAATTAAAGGCTGCACAAAAGGAGGGGAAGAAGGAATTCAGGTTGCTGGATACGACGCAGGCGATGCTACTGAGACCAGACGGGCACCCGAGTAGATATGGGCATTGGCCTGATCAGAACGTGACGTTTTACAATGATTGCGTGCATTGGTGCTTACCCGGACCCATTGATTCGTGGGCCGATTTTTTGGCCCATATAATTAAGATGGAAGCCCGGAGAACCTCCGCTGAGAGACTCTTTCAGCGATAGAAGTAAATGCACTGAATTTCGTCGATCCTTTCCTTTTTTTTCCCAAGATAAATATATGAATATTAACAAACTCTACTACTTTATTCGAAGTATCTTAACAAACTCCTTCAACTGTGATTATATTAATAGATAGATCACATACCGGAAACAAATTCCAGATAACGAAAACTGGTATATGTTTTTTGTCGAAAGAATCAAAACCCATAATTGCATTCGTTTCTACAAATAATTGTGACGAGACACCAAAAATCAAATATCTGTACAACCACACGTGTATCGAATATAACTAATAATCAAACTAAAGTGTATATAGAGAGGTTCAGAATGATATTTTGATGAAAACCAGTATGTGTAAAACTAAAATATAGAGCACAAAAGCTGACCTGAGAAGCATTAACCTCTGCAAAGTCTCGTTTCGACCAGCGGTATGAATAGGAAGTTTCTGCCGAGAATCGGTAGAATAATCGGAAGATATATTTTCCTTGTAAGAACCACTTCTACCAAACCGATTCCTAGTATATAAACTGCTGCTTTCTATTCTTCTCCACATTCCGTTCAACTTTTCCAGCTCCATTTCTTTGATATGGATTTCACCCATGAGACCTTCTGCCTGAGCCTAAAATCACAAGGTAAAGGACGAGTTATTATTAATGCAAAAATTATACAAAAGAGGCACCTCTCTATAGTATTGAATAGCTTGAGTTAGTAAGAGATATAACCTGTTTTGCAGCTAGTTGTTCAATTAAGCTGTGAAGCTGTTTATCCAGTGTTTTCTCTCGCTGAGCTGTTGATGAAGAACATAGAAACATGTAAAGCTGATTTTAAAGATTTTGTCTTATTGAGACTATCGCTCAAGAATTGAAGCACATATTTTCCATTTAAAGACAACTATACGGGCAGATTTTCCATTACTCCCTGCTTTTGCACATGATTTTTCACAAGAGTATTCTGTTCTGGTGGCGTTTTAGCCCATGGGTGAAACGTAAAAAATAAATCAATCCTCTCATTTAAACTTATGGAATCCGCGTTTTCAGGGGGGCGGTTTTCGATTTAAATAAACACAATAACTTATTGCTGTTTTAACAGCAAGAAGCGACAGCGGAAGCCAAAACCATAATGGTATTAGAACTGTGTAGGATGTGGCCCTTTAACCACGTTAAATGGTATTAAACAGCCTGCCAAATAGTTTCCCCCAAATTTGTATTTTAATTATCTTTTTCTCTATGTTTGCTCCTTTAGTGAACCACCCGTACATAGATGCATTCTTTCTTTGGTTAGGAAACATGGGAAAAGCGACCAACTACTAACAAAACAAACAGCTCCTTATCGAAATTGGGGGCTAACTACTTCATTAGCCAAAACATTAATAACCAGTAAGATCAAATTCTCAAGTATTTGCCAACTTCTAAACCTACCCCCACCCCCTTCACATTCTTCCATTTAAATGGTCATAGTCGGTGCTAATATGCTGCCATTGTTTCTCCGAACGCAAGAATTGTCAATTAAATAGAGCACAGGTATTAGACGAGTACCTGGAGTAGGTTGCTTCAATGCATTATCTTGGACCCGTTGCCACTCTTTCTCCAATTCTTGAACAATCTCTTCCATTGAGGCCTATAAATGAAACAGAATTTCATCAGTTCAAATTAAACGAAACACCACAGAACTTATAGTTAACCATGCAACAGACCAGTTCCTTTTTCTTGTTATCCAACTTCTCCATTAGTGCTGATTTGGGAGCTTCTGCTTCTTCTTGCACTCCAACTGTTGATGATTGGGATTCATTAAGCACTTCAGTTGATTCCCCTAAATTTTTAGCATCCACAGATGATTTTGCTCTTTGCCACTCTTCTTCCAGGTTTCTCTCAATCAAGTCCATTTCCTGCAAAGAATAGTTTGTAAGTTATCCTCGTTCACTTACATATATCGGATTACATTGGATTGGAGTGACTCCTTACTAACTAACTAATTATTTAGTTAACGAGATACTCGGTTTCATTGTATTAGATCTAGTGTTAAAAGCTGAAATTTCTCAATAAAATCCAAACATATTACTACCTCCAACTAATTTAGTCAATTGGACTTAATAAGAACTATGAGTGCAGAAATACGTAAAAGTCGAGGGAAATTAAACTCTGACCTTCAACTTACTTCGCAAGGAATCTGCTTCGTGCAACTTCTCCTGAATTTTAATTTCGCAATTGGAGATGGCACTTTGGTAGTCTGCATTTTCTTCCTCTAACCTAACCTGTCTCAGCTGTGTCTGCAATGGAGAAAGAATTACCGAATTCAATTGCTGAAATATGCCTAAATTATGAGCTGAACTATCACACTATAATTTCAGTTCTGAACTGTCTGCATGTTTTTTCATCATATATCAAAACGCGGGAACGAAATAACGCCTGTATTTACTAATAGGGTATGCAAAAGACAATCAAATTCAAATTCAAAAAAATTGAAAGAAGATTGGAATTAAGAAAAATTACTTGCGAAAAAAAAAATTAGGCATATTCATAGAGAGAGAGAGAGAGAGGAATACCTGCTGTTTGGTGGTGGAATGGGCGTTGAGTTGAAGGGCGAGATCGTTATTGGAGGCGAGGGAATGGGCGTGGAGGTGAGGAAGGCGTTGAGAGATATCCGGGGGAGGCAATCTCAGCCGCAGATCTTGGATCGAACGGTTCAGAGAAGCTGATTTGAGATCGAGCTCTCGAACGTAGGTCAGCTGGTCGGGAGTGAAGATGAGAGGTATGGAATTGGGATCGTTGTCTTCGTCGCTCCTCCCACCACCACCGCCTCCCACCACGTCCGCCGCCCATGCCAGTAGGCCAGCCATCTCTGCTTACTTCAACTTGCTTCCGCTTTCTTCGTCTCTTGTTCCCGAAATTGTGAAAATAAAAAATAAAAAATAAAAAATAAAAAAAAATTACAATTTGTTTTTCTAAATTTTTAATTTGATTTGAATTGATTTGTGTTTGCATATTTGGGCCTCATGGATTCGTTTCTGGACCATCCACTGGTTTATCAATTGGGTCATATCTACCAGATAAATAACAGCTTTAATAACAATGGAAAATGATTCTCAAAAAATAAAAATAAAAAATCAAAGGAAATTTTCATGTTAAAACAAAGACAATGGAAAATTTGTTTTTTACAAAAATAATAGTTTATTTTTTTTTAGCAAATATTAATAGCCTGCGCCTATATGCCAGACTAATTCCACTTGTGCAAGACCAAATTAAAAAATTTAATGTATAAATACTATAATATCCTTACTTATTAAAAAAATAAAAAATTCCAATTGTGCAATACCAAAAATTCAAAAACAAAAAAAAAACCCTATCACAAAACCACAAGACCAACTCTCATCTTCTCCATCAAAACCTTTCTCCTTCCTCATCTATAAACCCACAAAACCTAAACATTCAAAATCATCAAAACTCAATTACAAATCTTACAAAGATGGTAAGTATGGGGTCAGAGGACATCAAAATAGAAGAATCTACGGTGGAAAAACACAAGAAAATATGCATTTATGTATTTTTTTAGCTAGAATATCGTTTTTCCAAAAAAAAATCATGCGCAGACGCAGTCGGCATGTACATGTCGAATTTTATAGGCAAAAATCGACATTGAGCTGTCGATTTTTTTAGTACAAAATCGACACCTTAGTGTCGAAATTTAACTGTTAGCAAAGTAGTCCAAATATACTAAATTTCGACATTAAGGTGTCGAATTTATGGACATGTATTCGACACCTTAATGTCGAAATTTAGTTGTTTCATATTTAAAAAAAAAAAAAATCCCGCGCAGACACAGTCGATATGTACATGTCGAATTTTATAGGTAAAAATCGACATTGAGATGTCGATTTTGGAGTAAAATATCGACACCTTAGTGTCGAAATTTAACTATTAGCAAATTAGTCCAAATATACTAAATTTCGACATTAAGGCGTCGAATTTATGAACATATATTCGACACCTTAATGTCGAAATTTAGTTGTTTCATATTTTTTTATTATTTGTTATTTGGTCTTGCATGAGCAAACAAAAGTCATTTAATTTATGGGTATATTTGTCATTTCATCTTAATAAAATGAAATCTTTTGGAATCTTTCTTTAATTTAGTCTTGCACAAGTGGAATTAGTATTACATATAGCCGCAGCCATATTAATAATCGAATTCCTTGTCAACGGTCGGTAGATCGAGTTTATCACACATAGTTAATCTATTCCGCCTTTCGTATGTCACGTACTTTGAATGATTATTTTATGCTTAGGAAAACGTTAGAAGAGAAATACTACATCCACGTAGTTATTCTTTACTTGTGAAATTTCCTAAAATGCAAAGCAATTTAGATACTTTGCATATTTTGCACTCATAACCAACCCACATAAACAATTTCAACAGGCAAAAGATTCTAACAACTTCATTTATAATCCAGCCTTTTATTTCTTGACAAAACATTTGTCGTGGTGCCAAGTTAAGACATATTTCCTTCTTACCATAGTTATCATAAACAATTGAAATTAGTGCTTCCGGTTTGTGTTAATCTTCCAAGAAAATGCCACGTTTGCATCATAGACTATGGTAGTTTCTGCGAGTGAGTACTCCATAAATCATTGTAAGTTTCATCATTTTATTTTGTCATTGCAATGTTTTTTTTTTTTTGTTGGGATGTGATATTGAAGAATTATGTACGAGTAGGGCTGTCAATCGGGTCATGTCAGTCGAGTTTGGGTTGACTCAAGATTATCGGGCCTTATTGCTATAGGTTCAAGATTGGATCGTGTATTTTTTCGGGCTTTAGGTTTATATCGGACTTATATCGAACAATTACATACTTTTACGACTTTACGGTCAAACTTAAAAAAAAAACATTAAAAAAAGACCTTCACAATTGAAGAGCAAAATTTTTTTCACACTTTCCCCAAAATGAAAATTATCTTTCTACACTATTTTCAAAAATTTTCCCCAAAACAAATTCAAATATTTCTCTCTCTAACAAACATGATTTGACCGCTACAGTGAAAATTGTTTTCACTAAAATACAAAATCAAATCACTTTATCTTTTAAAATTTTCTTCCAAAATACATTTTCCTAACACCTTTCAGACATGATTTGACTTGCTATAGTACAAATTATCTCCTCTCAAAACACAAACAAACTTATATTAATTATTCAAATTCTTCTCCTAAAACATCTTTCTCAAAAATAAAATGAAAATGGAAGCTCAAAAGCTTACCAAACACAGCCATAATATTTATGACTAGTAAAATAAGATAAAGTCGCATGTCGAATTTAATAAAATAACTCAAACTCAATTATACTCGATTCAAATAAAATTGGGTCGAACAATCGGGCTTCGAATAGGTCCAGCCCTATATACTAGGATTACTCGTCTCTATCTTCAATAAAAGAAAAAAATACTTGTCGGGCCAAGGGACGGGGTCCTGGGGTAAGGGATTTCGACTTTATTGGTGCAATAAAAGAAAAAAATGAAATTAAAGTAAACAACTAATGAGAAAATATTGCTCAAAAATTTAACTGAAATGATTTACGCGGCAGTAAAATTACGAATGTCGTTCACAATACATTTCCTTTCGTAATTTTGCTACCGCGAATAGCACCTCCCAAAATTTAATGAGAAAATAAATATAAAACTCTTGTTTGACTAATCCTTTGAACTCACCTTCCATTACCGTGTTGACAGGTACACGCACTTGACGTAATTACGCTACTCTTTCCCAAAACTTATCCAAATTAACAATCCGCCCCATAAATTCCCACCATTTGTTCATATTAAACCCATGTTGAAGAAAATCAGACGAAGAGTCAAAACCATCTTCACAAAGCCTTTCAAACAGAAGCCACGAAGAAAGCCACCGCCGCCCACCACCACCTCCCCATCGCCGCCGACCTCCCCCGCCATGTCTCCGCCGCCGCAAACCGCCGACCGCCACCACTCCCGCCCATTCCTCTTCCCCCAAACACACTCCACCGTCCTCCCCGATCCGTCCCCATTCTTCTCCCCTAATCTCACCTCCGCCCCTCTCCCCACCAATTCATTCTTCCAGAACTTCGTCCTAAAAAATGGCGATCAGCCGGAGTACATCCATCCGTACCTGATCAAATCGTCTCAATCGTCGCTCACACTCTGCTACCCATCGCAGTTCAAAAGCCCCGCCTTCATTTACCAATCCTTCATCTCCGATCTCACAATTTCAAATTCGAATAACCCTAACCCGAACGCAAACCACGTCGTATCGTCGTTCAGTGACCTAGGTGTAACCCTAGACTTCCCCTCCGGCAATCTCAGATTCTTCCTTGTCAGAGGCAGCCCGTTTCTAACCTGCAGCGCGATTAACTCCGTTTCCCTCTCGATTTCAACCGTTCACGCCGTTATAGAATTAATCCCAAACAGCTCGTGCACAAAGTACACAATCAAGCTCAATAACAACCAGACATGGCTGCTCTACGCCTCCTCGCCGGTGAATTTCACCCACGACACAAAAAATATTACCTCCAGTGTGTTCTCTGGAGTGATCAGAATTGCAGCTTTGCCTAATTCCGATCCCAAATTCGATTCCGTACTCGATCGATTCAGCTCGTGCTACCCTGTGAGAGGCGACGCCGTTTTCACGAAGCCCTTCTCTTTGGAGTACAAATGGGAGAAGAAAGGTTGGGGTGATTTGCTAATGCTGGCACACCCCCTCCATCTTCGCCTTCTCTCCGATTCCGATTCCGATTCGATTAACATATTAGAGGATTTCAAATACAACAGCATTGATGGGGATCTTGTGGGCGTTGTTGAGATTCTGGGTTTTCGAAAACTGATCCTGTATCTGTCACTTGGCATTCGATTAAGGGTGTTCAAGAGGAATCGTATTATCAAGTAATTGAAGCCCTCATCAAAGATGTCGAGGCACTGAATTCTAGTGCGATATCGACTTCGTCGTCTTACTTTTTCGGGAAATTGATCGCTCGTGCTGCCAGGCTGGCATTGATAGCCGAAGAAGTGTGCTATACTGACGTAATTCCGGTTATTAAGAAGTTCTTGAAGGAGACAATTGAGCCATGGATGAACGGGACTTTTGGTGCTAACGGTTTCCTATACGATTCAAAATGGGGAGGGATTGTGACGAAACAAGGGTCTTTAGATTCGGGAGCTGACTTTGGTTTTGGAGTTTATAACGACCACCATTATCACTTAGGCTATTTTATATACGGAATATCCGTGCTTGCCAAAATCGATGCTGTGTGGGGGAGGAAATACAGACCGCAGGCCTATTCTCTAATGGCGGATTTCATGAACTTGAGCAAATCGAATTACACTCGTTTGAGGTGCTTCGATTTGTGGAAGCTGCATTCTTGGGCAGGTGGGCTAACGGAGTTTGCCGATGGTAGAAATCAAGAAAAGCACAAGCGAGGCGGTGAACGCTTATTACTCGGCCGCTTTAATGGGATTGGCTTACGGTCGACAGCCACCTCGTCTCTATCGGATCGACTATATCCGGTTTCGAAATTCAGGCTGCACAAACATGGTGGCAGGTGAAGGAGGGAGATAAAATGTATCCCGAAGAATTTACGAGGGAGAATAGAGTTGTGGGAGTTTTGTGGGCGAATAAACGGGATAGTGGACTTTGGTTTGCTCCAAAGGAATGGAAAGAGTGTAGGCTCGGGATTCAACTGCTGCCATTGTTGCCGATTAGTGAAGCTCTGTTTTCGGATGTGGAGTTTGTGAGGCAGCTTGTCGAGTGGACTTTGCCTGCGCTCGGAAGGGAAGGGGTTGGAGAAGGGTGGAAGGGGTTTCTGTACGCGTTGCAAGGTGTTTATGATAAAGAAGGTGCGTTGGTTAACGTCGGGAGATTGAACGGACACGATGACGGGAATTCGCTTACGAATCTTTTGTGGTGGATTTATAGTAGGGATGATCAAGAAGTGGGGTGTGATAGAGGAGGAAAGTTTTGCTGGTATAGTAGACATTATTCTCATTGAACTATATGATTTTTTTTTTAATTATTTATTTGTTTATGAATGGTTGAAATAAAGGGAATAAATATATATAGTAATTGTTGTAGGGATGATCAAGAATTTGTTTTGCTTTGTTTTTACAGTGTGTATATGTATGCTTGTTGGAAGTTTCTTGAATTGGATGTTTGTTTTTTATTTGGTTTTTCATTGTAAGTGTTTTTTAGATCGAATTTGTTGCACATAACTTCTATTTGTCTGTATTTTGTATATATACATACATAAGTAGTTTGTTAATTTGAGTGAATAATGTCATGATGGAATATTGAATTGGCATGTAACAAATTATTGGCAGATTATCTTTAAAATATAGAAATTGCAAACATAAGAATAATAAAATATTCAAAGAATGAATGGGTAATCACGTAGTTAACCGAAAGTAAAATTACTAGATTGCTCACGCGTTCCCTCATTCCCAGGAGATGAGAGTAATCACTAGATTTATTGAGTGTAATACAAAATTCTTAATCCAAACAAATATGGTAATTACGGAATGATTATACCAGTGAAAATAATTTCCTTTTTAGCAAACATTGACCCACAAAAAAAAAAAAAAAAAAAAAATGAAGAAAATGGCAATGATTGAGTGGCAGAATTGTGAACATGGAGTTCATGATGTTTGCTTTGACTTTGCTTCTTGATAATCCCACGTTCACGTTCTAATTCTGATTTTCACATCCTCATTATTCTTTTTTATTTATTATTTATTATTTATTATTAATTTGTTTTTTTGGTTAAAAACGAATATTAAATTAGGGTGAAGAAATTAAAACAGCTAATTAATTCCACAGTGCTCATTCTCATGGTTTAGAGAATTGTTTTCTGACAAAGTATTTGTCAGAAAATATATTACACCAGGTGGCAGCCACGTTTATTTCAACATTCATACCCATGTTTATTGAGGGCTGAGATCAGGCTTTCTTTGTTGCATTCTGAGACTACTGTGATCATATTTCAATTGCACTGACTGCATTTTGGTTTCGGGTTATTTTCTCGTAATTAATTGTAAGTTTTCATGCTAGCTAGCTAGGGTTTATATTTTGGATGATGATTATGTTTGCTTAATGATGATGATGGTGTGTTGTATTTCTACAGACTGGAACTCGAGTGTGAAGAAACACTGCTGCTGCATTTGCATTTCAATGGAGGTTTTCTGATCCTGGATTTTGGTTTTGCATTTTCTCGATTTTTTTTATTTTTTTTTCTGGTGAATATGACGCCAATATTACTACCACTTACAAATGATTCCGGCGCTGCCACGTCATTAGCTTCCCACAAAAAGTCACCGCCGCCTTCGGCGGACACGCCACCGTCTCCTTCAGCCCCTCCTCCTGAATCTGAATCTGAATCCTCTCCACCGCCGGATCCTTCCGAGCCTCCTCCATCAACTCCCTCCGCTCCACCTCCTGATCAA